TAAACACCATGACCCAAAGTAACTTGGGGAGGACTCGGCTTAATTGGCTTATACATTCCTATGGCACTTCATTATGGAGGGTTGTCAGGGCAGGAGCTGAAGCAGGGTACTGCTTCCTGGATGCTTCCCAGGGCTCGCCCAGCCTGCTTTTTTTAAAGAACCTAGAGGGCTGGAGAGATGGTTCAGCGGTTAAGAGCACTGACATCTCTTCCAAAGGTCCTGAGTTCAATTCCCAGCAATGACATGGTGGCTCACAACCATCTGTAATGGAATCCGATGCCCTCTTCTGGTGTGTCTGAAGACAGCTGCAGTGTACTACTCATATACATAAAATAAATAAATAAAATCTTTAAAAACAAACAAATGAACCCAGGACTGCCTGTTCAGCCCCCCACAACTGTACCTCCCCATTAGCTGGGCCCTCCCATGTCAATCATAATCAAAATACTACCCTACAGGCCAGTCTGACAAAAACATTTCCTCAGTTGAGGTCGGCTCTTTCCAGGGGCACTAGGCTTGTGTCAAATTGACAGCTGAAGCTGTGACAGGATAGGGCTCATATATCCTTGGGGACACACCGACCAGGTGTGTGCTTGACTTGGGTTCTTCCCACTAGGCTTTGGGCCCCAGTAAGATAGGGTCCCAGTTATGCTTGTGTCTTCAGCTCCAGCAGGGACCAGAAAGGAGTCAGTGCCACATTCTAACCTTTCGACATGTGGGTGTTGCTCCCTGGATCCACTTAAAACTGAGGAGTTTTAAGCTGAGCCCTTCTGTTGTGTGGTAAGACTTTTCCTGGAGAGATACAACACACACACACACACACACACACACACACACACACGTCTACTCTCCCCAGGTAGGGAGCCTGTTGTGTTTTGTAAAAAAAAAAAAAAGGAGAGGCAGGATATGTTTTGCAAAGCACAGTGTGGTGAGGTGGGAGGGCCTCTGCAGGCCCGTCTCTTCCCCTGAAGGACCAGCCATGGAGGCGTAGTGTAGAATAGAAGTTACTTAGGGCATGGGAAGGGGAGTTGAGAAGGGGGGAGAGTCAGAGAAAGACGGGGTGGGGAGAGGGAGAGAAGAGGAGGAGGAAGAAGAGGAGGAGGAGGAGGAAGAGGAGGAGGAGGAGGAGGAGGAAGAGGAGGAGGAGAGGAGAGGCTGGCTGGGAACACAGGGAGAGAGAGGGGAAAGGGGTCAGGGAGAGAAGATAGAGCAAGAAGGGACCAAGCAGCCCCTTTTATAGTAAGCCAGGCCTACTTGGCTGTTGCCAGGTAACTGTTGGGTGGAGCCTAGAAGGAATGCTAATAGAATCTATGACAGTTCCTAGTATGGACACCACCAAAGTCCAACGTGGTGCCTCGAGTTTTATGGGGGTCACTGATGGGCATATGAGTGAGGGGTCACGTACTGGAGCAGAAATGATTCAGAGACAGCTGCATCACCAAAGCGTGAGTGACAGCTCAGAAAGCTGGGGACCTGATGCTCACCACACAGTCTGCAGGGAGGGCATCAGGATGCAGACCGTCCTTTCCAGTGCCTCAGTTGTTCTGAGCATCTTCCAGGCAGATTGGCTTCCTGAGCTCAGCTTTTATTGCTCACTCTGGCAGGGAGGGGGCAGGTGAAGCTGGTGGGTTTCAGGGACTTCCTGAAGCTGCTTTTAGTTGCTTATCTTCCTGCAAAATGGAATACTTCACTCTCAGAGGGAACTGTCACAGTCCCTCCTCCATCAGATCCTCCAGTGCAGTCTGTTTTGTGTTTTGGTTCAGCACCATCCTGGGTTTTGGATACATGAGGATATCTACAGGTCCCAGTATTTTCTGAAGGTTCTCTGCATCTGTTGCAGCTTTGGCTGGTGTGATTTAGGGGTCAAGGAATTTGAAGGTGGGTGTGTGTGCTGCCCTGGGCAGGCTCTGCCTAGTCCTCCAGAAGCTGCCCCAGCAAGTGGCCCTTGAAGGAGGGGTGGGCTCTCATGCTCTCTATAGAAAGCTGTTCTTGCACTGGGGTCTCTGGAGGAGTGGGCACACTGTGCAGCTGTTGTGAGGCCAAGGACAGTGCCTTGAATGGGAAATGACGAGGAGGCTGTACTTGCAGCTTTCCCAGTCGCGCCTCCCCTCCTCCCTATGGCCACTATGGTTAGTCAGACCCTTTAGCCTAGCCTAGGGAAGGTAGCTGGCTCTGCTGAAGAGCTGCCCTGGCTTGGATCACTATCAGCTGGTATGGTACTGGCTTTTGAGTGCCTGACAGCCCCATACTGAGGGAGCAAAGATGGTGTCCTACCCTAGCTAGCTGCACCTGTGAGGGTGGTTCCTTCCAGCTGTCAGCTGGGCCACTAGCTCCCTCTGATGATGAAGCCAGCAGGAGGCAGCTCGGCTTGAAATGATTGTCTCTTATGTGGCTCACATTGCTGAGCCCCTCCCTTGTTCTGTCTCCATTGTGTGACAGACTCCTGGGAGGTGGGTGCTCTCCATTTGCCAAGTATGCCCTGCCGTCATCTGGAGAGAGCAGGTGCCCCACTGTGTCTGAGCTGGACTGACTTGTGGAAGTCTGTGAGCTGCTGCTGTCCCCGCTTTGACCTGAAGCCAGTGACTGTGATGGTCTCTTGTGTGGGGACATCGCCACTGGGGGGTGGGGGTGGGGGAAGGGGCTCCTTCCTGGTCCCTGTGCTGCCATTCTGCCCCCCTCTAGAGCACCTGGCCGTGGTGCTTGCTGGGGTTTTAGGAGAGGGCAGAGCTCTCTGTAGAAGGAACCTCCTCCAAGGGTGCCATCAGTCCCAAGTCGCTGCCCTGTGCTGGTAAAGCCTAAAGCAGGCTCTGTGGCTGGCTGTGTGGCTGGTGCGCCACGGCTGGCTGGTGTGGGTCTTCCTCTACCTAGTCTACATCTCCATGATGTCCCAAGGGTGCAACCTACTCCATGTCCCCTGACCTATGTTGTCTCAGATACTGCAAGCATGTGAAGTAAAAAGTCAGTCCACACCTCTCTCAGGACTACTGGAAGCCAGGAGACCCCAAATGTAAGGTGATTGAGAGCCAGCCAGGGGTACCCTCTAGCTGGAATCAAAGCTCTGCGCTTTGGGGCTTGGCACTTCAGCCAGTGCAACCACTTTGTCCAGACACAGAAGCTAGCAAGGGACAGTTGTGTTATCCCTGGCCCAGTGCCCTTTGCTGCCTTCTCATTGGGCCCTTGCCCTCACTCTGACCACAGCTGCTTTGTTACCCCAGCGCCATGGCTCTGGCCTTCAGCTTGTTGAGATTGTGCTATACATCTCAGCCACCTCTGGAGCTAGGTAATTGACTGAGGCTTGTGACATGCCTGAGCTTGAACTGGGGCATTGGGCCCCTGGCACAGCAAGATGAGCCCTGTGTCATTAGCCACCACGATGCTCTGATGATGACGGGCAATTTCAGGGAATCTGGTGCACACGGCAGGGTGCAGCTCTGAGTCACAGCCTGTGCCCATTAGCTCAATGAGCCATCCTGCTTTGTCCTTTCCACAGCCAGGCCCTGCTAAAGATGTGGCTGTGGCAGGCCTGCCTCACAGCTGTGTCCCCAGGATCCGAGGGTCAGAGCAGCCAGGACACCATGTGCATGTTGGGGCTAATTCAGGGCCCCAACTGACTGTGTCCCTGCCTTTCTCTCTTCTGGGCTGCAGAGCTCTGTAAGCAATGCTGAGCAGGAAGCTATGTGTATTCTTTGCCTAAAATAACCTGCAGCGGGTTGTGAGGAACCCCTCCCCAACCCACAGATTTGGGGAATTGGAGCTGAGCTGGGCTCTTGAGCCCACTGGTGAGGTGGAGTGATGGCTTCTGGGTCTTCCTCTGATTTCTATATGGCCTACTTTTATGGTTGGGGATTCCTCTCCCTTCCACTCTTTTCCTCCCCTCTCTGTCCCCTTCCTTCTCTCTGTCTTCCTCTTCCTCTCTCTGTCTTCTTCTTTTTGTTTCTCTCTGTCCTATTTCCCCCTCTCTCTGTCCCCCCCTTCCCTGCCCCTGTCCTGGTCCTTCCTCTTCTTGTCCCTGCCTCTTTTGCCAGAGAGTGCAGGTGGATCTGTCTACGACGAGCCAGCACTTCAGGTTTCTCATGAGTGGACCATACCCCACGCAGACTCCTCAGTGTCTTTACACAGTCCTCCAGCTCCTCTGGGCAGCTGGGGGCTTCCCACTTCCTTTCTGCTCGATGGCCTTGGTGATGTGGAGTATAATGTCTTGGGGTCACCTTCATCACAGACTAGCCATACTGATGTTGACCTTGACTGTGGGGCTCAGGTCATCTGCTGAGTGTCCTTTCCTCACAGGGCATTCTTTAATGTCCCCCGCTCTGGACTCTGAGGTGAAATGAACTTTAAAGTTAGATGTTTCAATTATCAGAGAAGAGATGAAGAAGCAGGGTGGCCCAACACTGTCTCTTTATCAGTGCCTGGTTCCTTTCCTTCTTACTGGAGAGGGATCACAGATGGAGTGTGAGCTCTGTGGCTCAGAAGTGGAATGTGGGAGCCCTTTGGGTTCTCCAGGCAGCCTACAGTAGGCGCCTGCCTTTAGGCTGCGTGGAACACCCTTGTTCTCTACAGCCCTGGCCTTGGAGGAGCCATCTCCCGATAAGGCCACGTTTACTCCAATGAATATTTATTTGTTTTTTTGTTTTTGTTTTTGAGACAGGGTTTCTCTGTATAGCCCTGGCTGTACTGGAACTTACTCTGTAGATCAGGCTAGCCTCGAACTCTCGAACTCAGAAATCCGCCTGCCTCTGCCTCCTAAGTGCTGGGATTAAAGGCGTGCGCCACCACCGCCCGGCTCCAACGAATATTTAACAATAACTTACTTATTTTTATTTATTTATTTATTTATTTATTTAGCTAGTTAGTTTTTATTTTGAAATTATTTTAATTTAGAAATAAAAAATCTCATAGGAAGATGGAAAAAAAACAAAACCACAAAGCACTCAGGCAACGTTTTACTTCGTGAGCTTGTCACCCCTGATTGGTTCACTCGTCCCATGATGAGAAAGGACTTAGCCGCCCACAATAATGTTGTTAACAGGGACATGGATCAGTTTCACAGAGAAGCCAATGAATCCCGTGATAGCAGATCCTATCGCTGTGGCCATGGCGACCTTCTGAAATTCTCTTCTGTCGGGCTTGGTGCATCTTTTAACCAGCCGAGTCAAGTCCTTTACAAACTGCCGACTTGGCTCGACCAACTGCATGACCTGATCCATGTCTGTGGGATGGCGGTTTGAGAGGGTAGAGACACGTAGCTTAGGAGGAAAATTGAGCCCCACTTATTTTTATTTTATGTGCATTGGTATTTTGCCTGTCTGTCTGTCTGTCTGATCCCTGGGACTGGAGAGAGCTGTCATATGGGTACTGGGAATTGAATCTAGGTATTTTAGAGAGCAGCCAGTGCTCTCTAGCCATCTCTCTAGCCCCAGCCACTGTATTTTTTGCAGGCTCCAGATAGTCGATGGAACCCCATCTTTCTTCCTGTGGGACAAAGGATGTGTTGTCTGGAGGCCTAGGTGTGTGTGCATGTGTGCTTTCCATGTGTGCTAAGGGCGAGCGTGCTCTGGAGCAGCCCTTGAGTTCCCATTGTCCCTCTGTACACAGTGCTGCTGTCCTGGCTTTGAGGGCTTGAGCTGTCCCTATTTGTCCTTGAACTCCATGCATCTGTCCCTGGGCTGCATAGCCTGGGAAGGGCCATTTCTGAACTTTGTATATACAGGTCAGTCTTGTCTCCAACCGTGTGTAAGAGCTGGCTCTGTCAGGGGAAGCAATGGTTGGCATAGTTCCTGCTGGGAATTTACTTTTGCAGGGCTGATGACTGTTGGGATGTCGTTGTGCAGGCCGTGCCCCATTATACCTCCTTCAGGTGGACAAACCTCACTTGGCTGTGAGTCTCTCAGAAAACTCCCTCCTAAGAGAGCTTGGAAGGGCTTTTGTTCCAGCCAGCTTCCCATTTCCCCACAGCACAGTTGACCCAACATTAGCTCCAGGCTGGTAATGGTGGACGGGTGGCCAACAGACAAGCCCACAGCGCCAATGCTGCTTCAGCTTGCTCTCTCCCTGTGCCCTTGCAGACTTGTCAGGGTGACTGTCAGCTAGCTCAGTTGCCTGTGGGCATGCGGTTTGCCGTGAGGCTGACTTGAGGTAGTCAGGCCACTCCAGATCTGTCAGCATCTGTAAACACTGAGGCTGTTACCCATGAAAGAGCTCAGAGCATGAACCCTAGACCTTGGATGCCCACGGATGTTCACAGTGTTATTACATACTGTTTACGTCAGTGGCTGTGGTACTACTAGCTTGTCCTCAGCCTCTCTAACTAGGACTAGCAGCAACAAATGGCCCTGTATTGTTTCAGCATCTTTAGGGTTGGCACTATGACATACTGCACAGCTCAGGTACAGGAGACCATAGGGTCTCTGTCCTAGGAATGTCCCTAATTTAGCTGGAACAGGCTAGGTATATCAAAAGGTCCCTCCAGAGGCTTCATGTCTGAGTGTTCCGTGGAGCTTCAGTGGGGCTGTGTGTCTACAAAGCCGAGCCTGTGGCTGTAAGGAAAGCAGGACACCAGGCCCATTTGTGGTATCAACAGTACTCCTAGGCACTGTGCGGACATGGGGAGGGAAGGCCAGTTTGTGTCTGCACTAGGTTCACCCCAGAGAGACCTGGGTGACCACAGGGCTGCTGTCCATGCTGCCTACTATGCAGGCCACAGTGTATATGGGCCACACAGGTCCCAGGAGTATCTCCTGCCTCCAAATACACCCTCTTTGTCCTGAGAAGCCCCCTCCTTGTTCCCAGAAGGCCTGTTTTTAATCCTTTGTTTTCAATATTTGAACACAGTAACTGGGCTGAGTCCTGACCCCGGCTTAGGAGACTGCTAACACAGGGTTACTGCATCGGACTGTGAGTCCAGGCTGATGGCTATGTACAGGGCTCCTGGTTGTCTGAGACATGGTCCACCCTGCATGTCCACAGCTCCAAGTCCACAGTGGTGCCTTTTCTGTACCTTGCCAGTGTACTAGATCCTCACCAGCTCTGCACCGTCACCAGGCCCTGCCCTGCCTGACTGTCTCCTGGGAACATTTTCCAGACTTTGGGTAGTGCAAGGTAGATGTCATCCAGCCTAGGCCCACAGGTGACTATGTAAGTTTTGGTCTTTGTCCTTCACTAAAAATCCATGGGGGTAGGGTTAGGGGTGGGTTGGGGCTCACACCTCAGCTGAGCCTGCAGCCTCTGCCTAATCTGAGACTGTTGGACACAAATGCAACAGTCACCTCCTCCCTGGGTCCTCAGGGAGATGTGACAGTCACAGATAGCCATCCACCCCTCCCTGGCCACCCAGACAGTGTTCTCCCCATACCATCAGCTTCCCTGTGGGTGGGTGGTCCTCCTACCTCCGAGTCTCTGTGTTCTCCAAGCTAGCTCTGATCCCGTGCATTTCAATAAAAATGTCATTACTAGAAGTCATTGACACTGCTGGTGTGTGACACCAAATTCTACCACCTATTGTCCTAGATAACGATCCATTAGAGATAAAGCCAGTGGCTCAATAGTCTCTATCCTGGGAGCAGCCTCTCCCATTCTGGCTGCTGCTATCTTTAATGCAATTTGTGTTGTCTGTCCCACCCGCACAAGCAATAAGATATGGGGATTCCCTGGTGGAAATGGGCAGGCCTCAGTGCCAGGCAGGTCAGGTAGTTCGTCACTGGAAGCCCCTTTTATGTCAGGCAAACGGACCTCCTTTTGCAGAATGACCCCGTTGGGGCGCACAGAATCCTGTCCCTCACACGGAGCTGCTCACAGCCTCCATGTGTCTTTCCCGTGCGTGTTACACCCTCTGTGGTCTCCTCTGCATTGTGAGTTGTGACAGTCCGTTGCCGGTGTGCCCCTGATGTCTGAGTTCAGGGGTACCTCCATCCAGTACCTGTCTGTCCAGGTTTTGCTCTGACCTGTGGGATCCCTCCTTTTGTGACTTAGCTGCAGGGACCTCCTGTTTGGTCACACCAGGAAGTCACCTGCAGTCCCATGTGCTCTTTCCAAGGTCTCCCAGGCTGTGGCCAGGGCTGTGAGAGCACAGGAGCTGCCCTGTTGTTCTTAGCCCAGAGGGCTTTGTGTCTAAGGGTAGCTATGACAGGTTGGCTCTTGGGGCTCAGGAGAGCCACTGCAGTTGAATCTACAGTAACATCCTAGGCTGTGGTGTGTGTGTTGTGGGTCAGGGAGTGTGCACATGCATGTCTCTACCAAGGGCCTTTACCTGGCACTTGGCCTGGCCTCTGCAGCAGGGTGAGAGTGCCCGGCCTTTTTCCTGGGTCTGTATGAGTTGTTTCCTGCCTGGCACTGCATAGGCACTGTGGAATCCTCTCCCTCATCCTTAACAGTGGACAGTATAGAAGGCTCCTGCATTGCTTGGCTCCTGACCTCAATGTTGTCATTGACTTGAGCTCAGCTAGAGAATGCTCTCCTCATTGAAGAGTAAGCATGATTGTCCCCAGCAGGTCTTTGGAGCTTGGGGCACAGATGGGGCTAAAGGCCTGGCAAGGCACCTCACCTGTGGGAGCCAGACAGAGGCCACCAAAGCCCCAGGCTTTGGGCACATGAGGGCAGTTAGGTTCATGGCATGGCACACTGTCACCAGCTGGCAGGCTTCTGTGCAGACCTGCTCCCCCAAGCCTGTGTGCCCCTTCCTGACCCAGTCCTGTGCAGACCTGCTCCCCCAAGCCCGTGTGCCCCTTCCTGACCCAGTCCTGTGCAGACCTGCTCCCCCAACCCCGTGTGCCCCTTCCTGACAGTTCTGTGCAGGCCTGCTCCCCCAACCCCGTGTGCCCCTTCCTGACACAGTCCTTTAGTTTTTAACTGGCAAGGCTTTGCTTATTTATTTTCATTGTTCTTGATAATAATTCTGAGCCATTAGAGGGGAAAATTATATTCAGAGACGCTGTTTCTTGCTTTATTTGTTTGGTGATTTAGAGCGATAGAGAGCAGCACATACGCTGGCTTTTATAGTCTGGTAATTATTCACATCCATCAGCCCTTCCGGGGGATAAACAGAACACCGCGGAAATTGCACTATTAATAGCGGCCTCCTCTGCCGGGAGACAGGCAGGAGGGCAGGAAGAGACTGGTGTGTCCGCAGAGCCCTGTTCATCCCATTGCACCAGGGCTCAGCTGGCTGTCTACCCACAGGGCTGGAATGGCACCCTGAAGCATTGAGATTCCCCTCTTCCTTGACACATGTACTTTACCATCATGGCCGTGTGCCCTGTGTCTCTCAGATGATCTGGGCTCTTCAGCACCACTCAGTACTGTAAGGCTGGCACAGAGTTCACACCTCCTAGCCTCATGTTGAAGCACCTGGGGTTCCTGTGTCTCCAGTCTTCTCCAGACCAACTTGCCCACCTGGACCTTCGACCTTCCCCACATGGCTTGTTCACTCCCCAGGGTCAGCCATGTGGTCAGACTTGTTGATGGGAGCCATTAGGGTTCTGGCTCTGGTGGCTGCAGACAGGGATTCGTCACAGCTCTCATCCCTGGCACAAGTTTGTGGGTTCAGCTTTGGGTTTGGGGGAAGTAGGACCCAGATGAGCCCATGCTCTTCCTGGAGACCACAGCCATTGCGTCCTTCTAGAACCTTTTATCCAAACTCACCCTAGCCTTACTTGTGCTTGTTTCCCATGGCCTCGTGAACCGCTGACATGTGGGAGAGTGGCCACAGCCAGCAGACCTCTCTCAGGGCCACATCTGCAATACTTCACCTGGTCCCTTAGCACCACACCTCCTCTGCAGGTATAGAGCTATTGTCTTCCCACCAGCCAATACAGAGTCCCCCATAGAATTGTCAGGGAGACCAAATCCATGAGCATGCTGGAGGCAGGGGACAGGGCTGCCTCTTCTGTAGACCTCCTGGAAGTACTTTGTGAATAGAGGTGATTTAGAACGTGGAGGTGGGTGCCAGGGGATTATGGGGACAATTCAGAAGGATGCATCTTTCCTGACATGTGGTCTCTGGCCTATACATCTCCTAGGAGGAGCCGGCTGAACCTCAGAACTCTGGGACCTTGAGTGGCCTGCTTAGCAACCATAGCGAAGTCTTCCTATAGTGCTCAAAGGGTCTTCCTGGACGCTGAGTATAGCCCAGGGCAGCCCAGTGTCCATACAGAGCCTGGCCTGCTGGAAACTTCTCTGCCATGCCAAGTCACCTAGGATGGCTTAGGATGGG